AATAAAGCTTGAATACAATAATCTGTTCAACAGACATCTAGGAAAGCCTCCTCTGTAAAAAAGCTCTTCTGTTTCCTGGCCTATAGTCTTACTGTTGCCTTCCCAGAACTCCATAAAGAGGAGATGGGAAGGAGCCAGGGAATCACCATCTTCAGTGGAAGGGTTTCTGTTTGGCACCGTCTCCAAGCCTCCTCTCCTCACAGCCCATCAACCCATTTGGCATACACTGCACATTACTATGTCATCTCTTTTTTTTCATGTATCATGTTATTTTCAGACATCTTGCAGTTTCCCTGTAGGATAATACAAAATCTCAGCCCTCTACTTTATTCAATTTTATTTATTCAATCCTACTCCTAATGAAAAAAAAAGAGTTAATTTTCACTGTAGAGAATTTAGAATTTGAATCTAGCCACAATCTATTCTGAAAAAAAAAACAGCTTAATTAAAGCACACTTCTATCATAAAGAGAAAAACATAAAACTTTATGAAATATTTCCAAGGTCTTTATTTCACCAGAAGGAAATTCAATGATATAGCATGTGTAGGTTAAGAAGTTCAAAAATCTATTCAGTCTCAGCAAGGCCAAATGACAAAAGACAGTAGGTATCTGGACTTTTATTTGTACTTAACTCTGTAACAAAAATTACCAATCTACAGGTGGATAGACAGACGTACAGTCAAAGAGATAGATAAATAGATGGATGATAGGTAGATAGGTGGTTGATAGATGATAAACAGATAAGAGAGATGGAGAGATGATAGGTAGATGAGAAAGAGAGAGAGAGAGAGAGAGAGAGAGAGAGAAGTGCTTTGGATATAGCTCAATAACATGCTTTCCTAGAATGTGAGGTACTGGATTCAGTCCCTAGCACTGGTTGATTTTGTGTGTGTGTGTGTGAGAGAGAGAGAGAGAGAGAGATGAAAGGTAATTCAGAGAAAACCCCTAGTTAAATAATTGGAGGACAGAATGACATGCAATAAGAGAGAGAGAAGGCTTTAACACATAGAAGTTGCCCTAAGAACAAATAAAAACATAAGGTATAGCCATCATGATTTGAAAGGTGACTATCAAAATCAGATGAAACAATGAAAAGACACAAATTCACCTTCTCTTCAGCCAAACTGTTACATTAAATATGGAGATGACCAAGGGTGATACCTTCATGATGAAGGCTTGGACGGAATCGCGCCGAATACTAATGAAGGAATGAGGGCATGCTTCTTCCTCCCGCTTTCCCCGCGTGAAATGCAAGCCATCCTGGCTGTTGCCGCTGCCATTCTCAGGTTCTGCAGAGCCCTCTTCCCTCTCTGCCCCAGCCATCTTCCTTCCTTCCTCCTCCCTGCCTCTCCCTGCACTCGGAACACATGGACACACACGCGGAGCCCCCCCGCCCAGCATGCACACCCACCCACACATAAAACTCCTACACACTCATATGCACACTTGACACACGGTCATGTACACTCACCTTGCTTTCTTCCTACTGCCTTGAAGGTCCTGTTCTGAAGTTTTCCCATCCTGCCAAGACTTTAGCTCAGTTTCTGCATGGCTGGGTTATCAGCATGGAGCAATATATACAGAACTCACCGGTCTGAGTCACTAGATTTGGAAATTATTGACAGCAGAACTAATGCTTTTCCTATAACCCTCTAACACACTGCCTGATGTATACTGAGTTCACAATAAATGCATGAAACCGAAACCCTTAGTTCTATTTGAATTGCAGAGAGCTTACTCTGTTTCTATTTCTTTCTTCTCAAAACTCAGTTACAGTTCAGTCTTTCTTATGAGTGCATGGATTCTATTTTTACTACTCTTGCCTGGGGCTTGAACTCAGGGCCTGGGTGCTGTCCCTGAGCCTCTTTCTGTTCAAGGCAAGTGCTCTACCATTTGAGTCACGGTGCCACATCCAGTTTTCTGACAGTTAATTGGATATAAGAGTCTCAAGGCCTTTCCTACCCAGACTGGCTTTGAACCTCGATCCTCAGATCTCAGCCTCCTGAGTAGCTAGGATAACAGGTGTGAGCCACCAGTACCCAGATCTATTTTGATTCTTCTGTTCTAATTACTAAAGTGCTGAAGCAAATGACGCTTGATGGAGGCCTATAAATTCCTCAGTGCTGGGATAGGAAACGTTCCTGGCATCTGCCCTGCATTCTGCAGCTCCTGTTTCATAGAACCTTCGTATATGATTGCTTTCTTCATCTTATTAAATTCTAGGACAAAAAAAAAAGTGAGCAGAAAGAAGGAATGAAACATCTAATTCTTGAGCTTCTCTGCATACCCTAACTACTTACAAGAAACATTGAATCCCAGTGCTTGGACTACGTAATATTTTCATTTTTAAGCCAGTTAGCATACTAGCTATGATCTTTGGAAAACTGCAAATGCTGTTAGGTAGAGTAATGCACATAAGATGCTGATTGCAATGGATTTTTACCTATAATTTTCAAAGCAGCTTTCTGAGGAAAATTCAAGACATAAAGAATATATATCCATACTAATTCCCATGACAGAAATCTCAAGAATTTCTTGATATATATTATGCAAACTAAATCGGTTAGATTTTGCTTGTTGCTGTAAGAACTTTCAATTTAAAAAAAGGTCTATAAATTAAAATTCAATATATCCATTAAAAACTATTTCCAATGTCATTTCCTTTATGATTTTTTTTTCTTTGGAGTCTGGCATTCTTGTTTGACAAGGGAAAAGGTTTTCTGTTTAGGTTTTGACAACGCGATGAACCTCAGCCAGTACCCAGCAGGTATACAGAGGCCTGGTGATTAGAAAGGGTGATTTCTTGGGATCATGAGGAAAAGCCTGCATGTTCAGGCCCTGGCCTCTGACTTCAGCTAAGGGACCACGCTGACTTTGGAATCCTCCTGATTCTTGACTCAGGCTGGTGATGAACCTGAATCATTTTAGGTTACCTGAGCCCAACGACAGAGACCCAACTCTAGGAAATCTCAGAAATCAAATAAATACAACAAATGAGGAAAGGCAATAAGTGCATTTAATTCATTTTTAGCCTGCCATAATGAGAGACAGGAGCCAGAGTCTCCCACCCTGTCTTAGATTTGCATAGGTGAGGAACTGGAGCGGATGGAGAAAGGTCTGCATAATTGAACAGTCTGGATCAAACTGCATTCTGATGGGTCATTCTAGCAAGCTGGGTTCTGCACGGATCTCTGCGCGGTGTTAGCCTTCAAAGGAGCTATCACGCAACGGTTGCCGCTCCTCGCGGGGGCAGCCTGTCGTCCAGCTGTGTGATCGCTGTCCCCACAAAGGGTATGAGAATAGGGTCAATGTGGAGGGGCCTCCCTGAAAGTCTCGGAGTCTAGGGTGAGCCATAGGTTTAGGGCAGTGTGTCAGGACTTTGGAGGATGGGGAATAAGGCCCAGGACATTCCTACAGTATGCAGACAGTGCCTTGTACAGGGACACAACTGGAAGATTGGAATCATTTGTTGTTTTAGATCTATTATTAATAGACTAATACTTGTGGTAAGCAGAATGTTCTTTTGGCTTTATTTTCTAATCAATATTATGGCCCTGATAATACGAAACAGAAATGACACATTTGTCTTGGCATTGAGTTGATCAAAACTATTTTTGTGGGAAAGGCAGCATGGCCCAGGAAGAAGGAACTCCCGGATTTGTTGACGCTGACCATTGAAGGCACTTGGTATTTACATCCCTGCAGTCACGAAAACCTGTCACAGGGAACTTGCTATGAGGAGATAGAAATGTCAGGGCAAAGGTTGGGATGGCATCCACACCAAGCAAGAGGGTTGATGGGAATCTATGTTAAACAGCTCTAGTACAGACTTACGGAAAAGTCAGAAACATCTCTGGGCAAGTGTCAATGCCAGCGTTGTGATCCCGTTTCCGTAAGTGATATTGAACTTGCGCCAAAATATTAAACTTCAGTGCTTTCTTCCTGCATCTGCAGAGTAAATATCCAGTCCTGGTTTTAATTCCTTTTTATGCGTTAATTAATTCTTATTATCTTTAGTTGTACAGAGGAGTTGACATTGCACAGAGGAGTCTGAATACAGCATGTCAGGGTCACTGTAGCCCCTTTCAGCATCCTCACTCAATCCTTGCCTACCCGTCCCTTCCCTCTTTGTAATGTTGTAAGATATACAAGGCATTCTTGGCCACACTCTTGTCTTCTCTTCATTAGTCCGCCCCTCCCCCTCAGCCCCACCCACCACTTTTAAGTACCAGATTCCTGATGTTTTACTTTGAGAACTTTGCCTTTTTAAGGGAATGTACCATATGTAATCAATATGTTTGTCAGCATATACCCTTGTGTAACAACCCAGTGTATTTACATATGCGTTTATAAGTCCAGCTTCCACATAGAAGGAAAAAATGCATCCTGTGTCTCTCTGGGCATGACTAGGGTTTTTTTTGGGTCAGAAGAGCCACTTCCGTTGTGATGCTTAGAGAGAAAGTGATCCTCTCCCTGAGAGATCCCTGAGCCATCGTAAGGGACAGTGACTCAGAGGGCAGACCAGCGGCCCACACACCTGCCAGCCAGAATCAAGAAGACATTCGCTGGCTCAGGCTCGTCTGATATTTTCCGATATTCATTTCCATATGTTTTTTTTTTAATTTTACATTTCAGTTCACTTTTCTAAGCAATTTCTGGCCCAAACTTTAATCGATCAAAAAATAATATAGATTGGAAACAAATATGCATAGACCATTCTCTGAGTAAAAGGTCAAGTATTTATGAATAATGTAAAATGATTTGCGCAGGTCATTTCGAAATAGGAAATCACAGTGGGATGGTATTTTTTCCACCCTGTGAGTGTAGTTTTAGTTAACTCCTACCTGGTTTTCCTGGGCGAATGGCTCAGGACAAACGACCTGGCCATCTTTCCAGCACCCCTGGATGACGCTGACCCCTGGTGACGCTGACCCCTGGATGACGCTGACCCCTGGTGACGCTGACCCCTGGTGACGCTGACCCCTGTGTTCACTTCCAGAGCTGGAGGCGGAGGAGTGGTGCAAGCACCTGTGCATGGAGTGTCTGGGCACGCGGCTCAACGACATCAGCCTGGGGGAGCCCGACCTGCTGGCAGCCGGAGTGCAGCGGGAGCAGAACGGTCAGTTGAGATTGCCACGTGCCTTCACGGGTCTTTTCAGGGCGCAGTGCTAGAAATTGTAGAGATCCGAGAAAGGGTTCAGCCCCAAGAAACGGGTCAGTCCAGCTTTACCGAGTGACTTTCTCACGGTGGCAACTAACGACAGAAAACGCCCGGGCACAGCACAGGCCGTCTGTCCACGCACATGGGTAGAGAAAGCTGTGCCGGAAAAGGCTTCCAGATAAATAGCATGCTTTTTGTGTTACTTTTAGTCGGTTACTTTTAGTTGATTGATGTAAAGGTGGTCACCAAAGGCTGTTAGGGTATTTGGCTAATGCCACAGAAGATGAAACCTCAGGATATCGTGAAATGTAGGTGTGTGCCTCGGGTTGTTTCCTTATTACACTGTTGGCTGGTTTAGAAGCCATTTCTGATGCCTCCTGCTCTTCATGGAATCCTGTAACAAAACGAAAGTCATGAATTGATTGTTCAGTGTGAGATTTTTGTTACATTTCAGTGTAACTGTGAGCTTATTTCCCACTATTTCTTAGTAGATATAAGCCTCACCAAAAGATCTGTTACTGGGAAGATAGAAACTTTACAGTGTTATTAGTATTTGATGGTCAGGGGAAAAGCTGAGGGCTATTGGGAAGCTAGCACTCCTTATTAAAAAGTAATTGCAGAGGCAAACACGGAGAATAAATGAGGTCACACAGGTAAAAGCAAGAGCTGTTGATGATTGTATGCATTTTGGTACATGTCACAATGTTGTTATTAACCACTACTAAGACTTGTCTTAGTAACTAAGAAAAAGTAGATACAAAAAGGTTCAGATAAGTTGATGTTAGAGAAATGAACCCTAACATATGTATTCAAATGGTTTTTTTTTTCTTTCAGGTGATTGTTTCTAACACTTTATAAGATGATTTCTTTGTTGCTTTGTATGTCCCTCCCCCTCCCCCACGGTATAACCCCTGCTTTCACTGTATTTGATGTTGGTATAATTTGTGGAGGGGAAGGGAAAAACAAATAGTTTAAATAGGGATACAGGTGGCTCCATTGCAACAATGAGATGTACAAGTCTATGTGGAAAAACGAACTTTACAACTTTGGTGGGGGGGGGAGGATTGGGTGGGGTGGCAGAGGTAGGATGGGAAGGGGAAACAAAGGAGGAGGCTACAATTCTTGATAAGAAATGTACTCATTGTCTTGCCATGTAATTGTAACCCCTCTACAGTATTTTCACGATAAAAAAAGAAAAAATAGATATAATATAGATATATATGCATGTATGTATAATTACAGAGAGATAGATACTCAGATAGTTTTTATAAAGATCCAAAAGCATTTCTATAGCTCAATTTTGCTTTTCCATACTCTGTTTCCTCCCCCACACTCATATTTCCATTTCTCTGATTTGTTTTCTGAGAGTTATTCTAAGCACAGAACATTCATAACTGTGTTGAATAAACTATACTGCTCATTCACAACTTAAAAAAGGACAAACTTACTGATAAAGTTTTGTCAAGTACTACATATGGAAATATGAAAGCACATAAATTAAACTTACAAGTAGAAACATCTTATGTCTCTTCCGCAGCATTGTATGTTTTTAAACATTCTCATTGCGTGTGGTATTTATCCACATGGATACTATAACCCTCTAGTTTGCTAGAATGCTCTTTCTAATGTGATGATTCTATTCATTTCGCTAGAATATAAAGAGAGGTTTTCAATATGGATGTTCTAGACAAGACAAATACGGAGTTAAACGCAAGAGCTGTGTGAAAAGTACGTGTTTTCATTTTTACAAGGAGTGCAAGGAAAAACAAAGGAAAAAAATCATTGCTGTGGAATACTTCACAGCAAACATGGCATTATAATATCACCAATGACACAGATGCTTATATTCGATTTATTTTTTATCATCCAACCATTAAATATAGTCCATAAGTTTTTGAAATATATATATACTTAAAATATATATATATATATATATATATTTAACAAGTCTATGAGCAGTTATAAAACTGTAGCAGGTAGTATTTGATTCATTTAAATGTCCCTCAAAAGCTACATGGTGCCTCATAAAGAAATTAAGCCTAACTTCAATACACATGCAGAGGGACACTCAGGCATGCCTGCTCAGCAGCCCTCTGCTGTGGTTCGCATTACGACAAAAGCCTTAGGAAGGAGTTCCCTTCCCAGGGACTCGCCTGCACTTGGCATCCCAGATCACAGGGGCTCCCCCACGCACAGACAATGCTTTTCCTCCATTTTTCTTAGCCCATTGAGACTGAGCTGATACTTTTTAAATTATCATACATACCACAGCAGGACAATAAAGGACATCTCAGCAGAATAGCTCAGGGTGTCCAAATTTACAGTGGCTAGCTGAATAATTCATCTGCAGCTAGGAGATAACAGAACACAGATTGGCATGGGTTTTACCCTCATTCCCCACTTTTCTCACTTCCTAATTGACAGATTTCATCTTGCATAAAATAAGTTTATTTGAGAGTCCCCCTGAGGTAAGTAACATAGACTATAAAAGAATATGACCAAGACTGAGATTTATTTTCATCCAGTCCTGACTTTCACATCTGATGATGGTCTGAGAGGTGATTCCTATTCCCAGACAGCATTAAGCGCTGATTTTACTTTAAATGTGAGAGAAAAGTGTATATTGTTTAAGCTAGATAATTGGAGTTTTAACTTTTTTTAAAGCTGCTCCCTCATTGGCTTAATACTGCTCCAGAGTTCTCAAGCATAAGAAACCTTCTAAAATAAACAAAATCATTAACTTCTTAATACATTCTTGAAGTCATAAATATGTACAAATGTTTATAAAAGATCTGTCTGTATAGATTTAGAGGTTTTCTCTTAAGTCATTTTGGTATTAAAATAGATCTTATATTCTTCATCAGAAGCATCACTTTCTTAGCTTGTGAATTATGTGCATGGATTTAGTTTGAATTTTTCTCTTAATGGGCAAGATACTTATGCACACAGAACTGGTGTAAGAAATGACAGTAATGTGACTCTTGATGTTCTTGTGGTGTTTATAATCAGAAGAAGTCACACTCTAGGTCTGGACCACAGCATTATTTGACATTCAAAAATACTATTCCTACTCCTACTCTAGCATTTTCCTGACTTTTGAGACAGCCTGGTTCTTTTTACTCTGAGGCAAGCCAAGAATAGATAGTTATGCAAATGATTTGTAAAGGTGAAAACGAGTATGCACTGCTAAGATAAAAGTAGTGATCGATTAAGTCCTTTGCCATAATCATCATTATCTCATGCTCTCAGCAGCTTTCAGATCAACTTTAAATTCTACATAGTGTAAGATGAAGCAAATGTAAATTTGCACACACACACATGCAAATTATACACAACTTTCAATGACACTGTCAAGAGGAAGATTGTAGTAACTGGACATATCAAATATTAAAATATTACAATTTTCAGGACTTTCAAGTTTTTAATAATATTTCAGATAGCCTATGGTAATGTTGAAAATACTATGGATCCATAGCACATAATAACATGTATAGAAAACAGGTATGGCATGTTAATAATGGCAAAAGTGAATTCATAACCAAGAATCAACTTACTTGTAAGAAATTCCTACAATTGCAGTTGGAAGGAACATAAAAAGTGGATCCAATTTGTGCCAGATACAAGACTTCTCCATCAGTAACATAAACAATCAATACTCAGCCTCTGGAGTAGGCTGAGAGCTGAGCAACATGGTTCAAAGCCAGCCTGGGCAGGAAAGTCCATGAAAATCTTATCTCAAATTAGCCACCAAAAAACCCAAAGTGGAACTGTGGCTCAAGTGGTGAAGTTCTAGGTTTGAGCAAAAAAAAATAAGACACTACACAGTCCCTGAGTTCAAGTACCAGGACCAATACCAAAAACAAAACAAAACAACAACAATAAACACAAAACAAAACAACAATAAACAATCAGTACCTTGTCTGATTTCCTGCGTTTGGCTATTGTGAACAGAACTGCAATAAGCATAATACAGGTAACTCTCTAGTTTGTTGTTTTAAAGTCCTTTGGATTTATGTGCAAGAATAGTTCATGAGGGTCAGAACGTCCATTGTTAGTTTTTTGAGGAAGGTCTATACTGATTAACATAGTGGTTGCATTGGTGTACATTACCACTATTGATATAAAAGGGTTCTTTTCTAGCCTTTGATTTTCTTACTTTGTATCACCAGTGATTTACTTATTTGCTTGATACCTTTTCTGTATTATGGGCTAAATTTTGGTCCTTCAGATGAGTTTATCTGTTGTTCCTACCACTTAGAACAAAGGCTATGTGGAGTTAGAAACTTTAAAAGAAATTTAAGGTAAAGTTACATATATATATATATATATATATATATATATATTCACACACACATATACAATCTATATAAAGCCTAGTCCAAGTGAGTGATATTCACAAATATAAATGTGAAAATTATGGCAGATCGACATAAATAGGATACCATATGAAGACAACAGCAAAGGCCGTCACCCCAAATCTAAGGAGAAAGTTCTTAGGAAAGATCTATCTTGTTCTTGAGCTTCTTCCTTCCACACCTGTGAGAAAATTTCCATTTAAGACTCCCACAAGTGGGACTTTGTTACAGCAACTTCTGTTCCAAACTGATATGTTCTGCTCTTTTTCATATGCTAAATCGCTCACCACTTGATTTAAGGTTTCATGGTCTCATTTTTGAATCTTTCAGGATGGCTATTTAGATCATCACTTTTCAGCCTTTCACCTCAATTGATTTTTGTAAAGCTTTGCATTTTTCTGGCAGCAAATTTAAGGTGCTGATAGGAACCATTCATTACTAGAACCTAGGTTATCACATGATAAATAGTAAATTTATTTATTATACACATACATTTCATCCTAGCATTGGGAGGCGGGCGGGGGCGGTGAGCTGAGAGTTTGAAGCCAACCTTGCTTACTTTGTGAGACCACACCTCGATAAACAAACATTTGTGGAGGGAAA